GTTGTGTGAAATATACAGCTATACAGAGTACAGATTGTTTGGTAGTGCTGCTTCTTTTCCTTTTTTTTTTTGATAGAAGTAGGTGGGAAATGTCATCATTTCTCTACATTTGAGGAAAAACTTTTAGGTGTTGGATCTGAGCATTATATTTGCATATTATGCAAACTTTTGATTCATTTTAATGAATTCGATATTAATATTTAAAGGATAAGGAGACTTTGGGACCTTAACTACCAGTTGAGCAAAATGTATACATGTCTGTTTTGTGCTTATCCTCTTGCCTAAAGTTAATTTAACTGATGCCAATGGAATTACTCTGTGTGTGGTTATTTTTAATGTAGAGCTTTCTGGAGTTTGACTTCAATTACATTTTCATCATTTTGAATATATGAAATTAATATTTGCAAAAACAAACAATTTCCAGTTGTCGTGAGGTTATTGCTAACATTGCTGACTGTGATCATATTTATGAGCCACATACAAATTGACTTTCACTAATTCTGTTTGGTTTATGATATATTTTGCATATTTCTTGAATGTTAGTGCTTGGTATTTTGGTTCTGAGGAGATTCGAAGACTAATACACTAATAATTGAGCTAGATGGAAAGTTAAAAAAAAAAAATAACAAAACATTATAACATTGTTTATTTTGCTTTTATGGCAGCTTTAGTACCGAGGATATTTCTTTCTAAGCCCTTGAAATATTTTTTTGGCTAGTAATATAGAAATTTAGTTACAACACAAGTTCCATTTCAGAAAAATGTGTTGATTGCTACTTCACTATCTAAAACTGAAGGTATTTATTATACCAAAATCACATTTTAATTTCTGAAATATTTTGAGCCTAAAATCCTGTTGACTCGTGATGAAATTTAGCAGAGAGCTGGGCACCCTTCTTTTAATCTAGCTGCAAGCAGTGTAAGAGGATGTTGTTGACGGTTGAGCTGCTGAAGCACCTCCCTGCTCTTTCAAATTGCCAGTGGGTCGATTTAGGTTAAATTGCCACTTTGTAGGCACATTCAGGGCTGGCCTCCCAGCTATTGCAACCTTCAGACTTGGGAAATGATGAAAACTTCAAATCGGCAGTTTCAATAAAATCATCTTTGAAGGATGTGGCTGCTCTTAATGGGAAGTGGATTCAGTGCTAATAACATTTAGGGAAGCTCTGACCACCTTTATGGATTCAAGGCTTCATTTCCTTTCCGCATCTATAGACTTTGGAGGTTGCCCCATTCCAACACGGGCTGGTGTTTGGCTAAGAATGAGCCAGGACTGAGTTGTCTGAGGAGGATTTGAAATGTTTTCAATGAAAGATTGTGGTTCAGGATCCCTCTGTCAAAACAGCACCCCGTCTTTTACAACTGGTCTTCAGTGTCAGTGCAAAGGCAGAAGTGACAAAACATGTTTTGTCCCTCCTACAAGTACAGTTTGATTTTTGCCTTTTGAAAATCGGAGAGTCTATTATTTAACACTTTGAAAGCATAAATTGTTTTTGTATTTGCGGTATGTTTACATAAGGAATGAATCGGCAGTGTTTTTTAATAATTACCTCTGCCCAGGTGCACAGACACCTTTTTACTGCTGTATTTAGAGAGCTGGTGAATTAAACAGAAAGATAAGGCACGGCTGCACTGTTCAGAACCTGCTGCTATTGTGGTCTTGGTCAAGTTATCAACTGCGCGCTCACCCGTTTCCCAAACGTGCCCATTTTGTGCCTTGCTCGGGATTATTTGGGAGCAACGGTACGTTATTAACAGCCCCTTTGTAAACAGAATAGATGTAATGCAGAGGAAGCAATCAGGCATCCACAGCAATTCCTTATTTGTGGAAACCAGAATGCAAAGAGTGTGGCCACCCCAAACTCTCGCTTAGGAAGCTTCAGTGTTATCAGAAAACAAATACATTAAAACATAATAATTTACATAAATTCTCTGTCTCCTGGTAACCATTTCATACTAGTATCTAAATGCATTTCACTTACAGCACCTTAAATTTATAACTAATTGATTTTTTTTTCCCCTCATCAGGAAGTTCTTAACAGCTTGACATCTTTTATGTGAGTTGATAGGTGATTTTTAAAAGACAATTTAAAGATTGTTAGATAATTCTATTTCTTAGCCTATCTAAAAATTATTTTAATCATAGATAAATTACTAACTCTTTAGGTTGTGTTTTTTATACAACATTTTTTATAGGTTTCAAATTATTCACAAATTGTATGGTTGTCTCTGCAACTTCAGTGATTCCTGAGCGAGCAAAGGTCTTGTAAAATAATACTATGAGATCATGTAATTGCATATATTGTCTGAAACCATTCTTAGAAAAAAGGGCAGAAATGAGTTTGCTTGAACCAGCAGCTACTCAAACACTTCCAGAGTTTACATTTCCCAACTTTCAATTGCTTTACCCTGTAATGTAAATATTATTTTAACACTGGTGCCTTTTAAGCAATTTCCTGTCTCTTTCTTGAAAGTAAAAGCCCTGCTTATGGGGCGCACCCCGCGTAGCAGCCTCCTGCCCTGGAGGGATTGAACCCTCAACCACTGGAAGCAGGAGGGACTCCCTGAGGAGGCTTCCTGGAGAGCTGACGGGTCCATGTTCTGCCAAGGCTACTCACACGGGGCAGTTTGGAGCCAAATCCCCTTTTCCAGCCCACACGGAAGGGCTGTGGGGGAATCCCCTGGTTTGTGTTTCCTCCCCTCGCCGTGGGGTGGTTCTGTCCGTGCCCACCCCTTCCCACACGCAGGGCTTCCCGCTGTGGATTTGGCAGCACAGTGAGCGGGCTCTCTAGAAGATAAAAGTTGTTATTTCTTTCTCAGCCAAAGCCCTGAGACCTGAATATTGAGAGAGGGGAGGCTTGGAAATAACTCCTGGGTATCCTAAAAAAGGAGTTTTGAGTTTCTGCTGTAAACCTAGAAAGAGTGAAACATTAGTTAACAGCTTCAAAATGGTCAAAACAGATCTGATGGATGATTTTTCCATGTTACAGATTAGAGAGCCAAGGAAGAACCAGTACAGAAATAGTGATCCGTAAAATGAGGGCAGGTAGCTGTGTTCAGACCTAAATGTAGGCTTGTGTACCGTGTTATCCTTCTCCACTTCTAGCTTGATTTACATTTATTCAGTGGCCTCTTCAATGTGACAGACTTTATGAAAATGCATTCATAGCATTTGAAATGGTTTGATATTAAACAAGTAATTCTTAGGGTAACTTGTTTACATTTCATGGGGCTTCAGCATTAGTTTAGAAATACAGCACAAAGTCCATAGAAAAAATAGAACTTTTTAATGATTTCCTCCACTTCCTTTTAAGTGTAAACCTGTTGGTTCTTCTGTTCATGGTATTTTGCAATGACTCCCTTTGCACCTTTCCCAAAATGTTTGACTCTTGCTGTTCTCAAGCTAAAAACCCCAGCTATCACTCAGCAATTTGGTGATCCTGAATGCAGCCGTCTCCATTTCTCTTGATTCTAGTGTGTTGAGGAGCACTAGTGAGTCTACATCCAGGTTACTGAAGATCGTAAAGGTTGCCTTTGAAAACTAATGTTTTTCTACGAAGTCTTTGGAAGTCACTTGGAAGATTTAGTGAAAAGATTTTACTTGTTTGTGTCTTAAGTAGTTGAGAACATGATGATAATGAGCGGGGAGGTTGGTTGGTTGTGGGTTTTTGTTTGTTTTGTTTTGTTTCTGGTGGTGGTTTTGACCTGCATCCTTCCTTTGTGGAACCGAATAAAGGATTTTGATGGCATAAAGACCAGCAAAGATTGAAAATAAATAATGTGTTTATTTTAAATTTTAACCAACTAGGTTTAGTCTTTGATCATTAATATTACATGTAATTTAGGCGTTTGGTAATTTGTGTGGCCTTTGGGATATTTATAGATTCAAGTTACTGATTTGTAAATGATTTGTGGTAGGTAACTACCACAGCATAGTATTTCAGCATAGTATACATCAAAGAATGTTCTTAAAATTACATGTTTGAAAGGTGTTATGTATCTTTAGATAAAATTAAACATTAGCCAGGTAATATTAGATCAAATAGAATGTATATTACCCTCATAGTGGAAGTGGGACCCATTAACTATTGATTAGATTATTTTTCTATAATTTGGAGGGTATGCCTTGTGGTTATAGTTTATAACTTTGAATAGAGCGGTGATAGATTAGCTCATTTGTTGGGCAAGATATTATTCATGACTAGAAGGTACAATTCTAAGATTATCAGTGTCTACAGTAAACTAAAATGGCTTTTAATTGCCTGTGGCCTTATCTAAAATGGATTGAAATCAGTGGGAGCCTTTTCAGAGCAGGACCTGGATGAGGTTACTGAACTCTTAAATAATTAATAAGCTGCATATAGTGAGTTGACACCTTCAAGCAAATATTTCTAGTAATGTATCTATATATCCTTTTTTTTTTTTTTTTTGCACTTGGACACGTAGAGAGAAAGGAAGGCAAGAAAACTCAGCAGAATGAACAGCTGGGTTTCATATACTTGAATGTTCAGTAGGAGGGTGCGTCAGCCATTGCACCGCTGGTCCTCCTCCGCTTCTCTGACTGTTGAAGGTTTTTTGTTTTTCTCTCTGATTTTTAGGGTACCCTTCCCCTTTGCTTATTGTCCATTTAATTAAGATCTGCTTTGGCTTGGCTTAAATCAGTACTCTGTAATTGATTTGTGCTGCAGCCGCCATTGATACCACTAGTCCTAGAAAGGTAGGTATGGAATTAGTAATACTAATTTAAAAAAAAGGAGGTAATTTTTATAAACTTTTGTTTTATTACTTTCAGTTGCATTACAAGGAGTTTTACAGACTTTGCGTTTTGTTTAAATTCAAGTTAGCTGGTGATTTTTGTCTGAAAATTTTGAATCATCTGGAATGGTTCAAGTGGAAATTTATCGTGTAAAGTTGCATGCTCTTTTAATTATGCACTTAAAAAATACATAGCTGCAATGATGTGAGGGAGAAATTTATACTTTATGGAAATTACTGCCTTGTTTAGGAACATGAATATAAACTAATTTGAATCTATCTCCTGACATGGTTGCGAAGCCTGACAATTCCTTTGTGTAGCAGTTCGTTTAACATAACCAATTATCCTTTGATTGCAAATAGCTGCGTTAGTACTAGCCTTGCAGATATGTGTCTAGCACTAAAAGACTACTGAAATGTGGTGTTTTAACTCTAAATCTTTAGGAAGCAAAAGTGTGTATTGATTGATTGTGATATTTATTGGGTCATAATGTATTTAAATTTTCTTTAATGCATATGTTAGTGATTGTTTACTGTGATGAAGTGCATGGGGTCTCTGCACGGAGTTGTGCGTGGAAAGAATTACCTCATGTCAGTGGTCACTCCTCAATTAAAAGTTCCATTAGCA